GGATACTCTTAAATCAGGTAATGGATACTCCTACATCAGGTAATGGATACTTTTAAATCAGGTGAAGGGATACTCTTCAATCAGGTGAAGGGATACTCTTAAATCAGGTGAATGGATACTCTTAAATCAGGTGAATGGATACTCTTCAATCAGGTGAAGGGATACTCTTAAATCAGGTGAATGGATACTCTTAAATCAGGTGAATGGATACTCTTCAATCAGGTGAATGGATACTCTTAAATCAGGTGAATGGATACTCTTCAATCAGGTAATGGATGTTCTTAAATCAGGTGAATGGATACTCTTCAATCAGGTGAAGGGATACTCCTAAATCAGGTAATGCTAGTTTCTCCCCTTATGCTTCAGTTAGAACATTTACTTGCGCAATTCGTACATTCAAGGATAGAAGGGTTTAATTGCAGTCAGGTCCGAAGTCCATACGACGCCTCGGCTCTGCAGTGGAATCAAATTTTGTTGAATTTTTCAGTGATTTCGCACCCTATGGTATCCAGATAAGTTCTTCAAATAAATGTCAAACCAAACAAGGCTGCTTTTAAATGTTTTTTTAATCTAAAAACTATCTTCTTGTCAAAATTCTACTTCAAAGGAAAATAATTACAAATAGTCCACTATAATTACTACTATGATACAGTCGGGATAGCATCGACATGAGACATTAGTCATGTTCAGTGTACATCTTTGACGTCACATAATGACCCATGACCTTGCGGTGCCCCAAGAATTCCTGGACAGTCACGATAAAAGGGTTGGGGTGGAGATAGGTGGGCGGGCGGGCACCCAATGAACCCAGCCCCCTAGAAGCACCATGGCAGATAAAGTTGGTCATCGTATTTTACGTTGCTTTGTCATACACTGTCATAACCTTTAAGATAAATTGACTTGTCTAATCTTCATCTGATTCAGACCTAAAAGGATGAGAAGATTCAGTTAGATAAAATAGCTTAAAATTGGGTTAGCTGTGGAAAGTAGGCTTTGCTAAGCGTGCAAAGTTTTACTGGGAAATATTTCTGAGGAGTTTCTGTAGATGTCTTTACCTTGGGTGTTATTTTCCCATTTCACACCACGTGTCATTTCCTTGAGTATCATTTCTTTGTTTAATGGTTGTACATGAGAAGACCAAGAATATGAATACAAAAAAAAATCTTATTTTCAAGAGAATGACACGTGGTCTGAAATGGGAAGACATTACGCCCAAGGTAAAGAGTAGTTTACTTACGAGCTGGCAAGTTGTATTCTTGCTCTCTTCCTTGGAGTTGGTTCACTAGGACCTGCTTCATCAGAGTCATCATTTTCATCATCAATATCACTCTTTTTGCTTTTATCATCATCTCCATCGTCATTATCGTCAGCATCACTCTTAACGTCATCTATGTCATCATCATCATTATCACTCTTTTTGCTTTTTTCATCACCTTCATCGTCAGCATCACTCTTAACATCATCATTGTCATCATCATTATCACTCTTTTTGCTTTTTTCATCACCATCATCATCATTATCGTCGCCGTCGCTTTTAAATTCATCATTGTCATCATCACTCTTCTTACTCTCAATATCATCATCATCATCATCACTTGATAATACTCGCTTGCGTCCTTTGGGAGCTCTTTCTTCTTCTTCACTGCTTTCTTTTTGCTCTTGTTCTTCTTTGTCATCGTCACTCTCCCTAAAATGAACAAACATAAAGTAATGAAAAATGGGGAAAATAAACAACAAAAATTAAATAAATCCTGAAGGGACGTTCAAAAATTCATCAGTCTGCGATGTACAAGTTCAAGTTGAAATCCTTGCGGATAAGATGAAAAACGTGAGCATCGTCAACAGTTAAGGGTTGGGTAGTGGGATGGGGTGCAGGGAAGTGCAGTAGGGTGGGGTGGTGCAATGGATGTAGGATGGTGCAGCGGAGTTGGGTGGTCCAGTGGAGTAGGGTGATGCAGTAGAGTAGGGCGAATGGTGTTGAAATGTAGTGAGGTGGGGTGAAAGACGGTGCAGTGGAGAGGAATGTAGGATAGTGCAGCGAGGTGGGTGAAGAATGGTGCCATGGTGTGTGGATAATGGTGGTGCTATAGGCTGGGATAAAGGGCAGTGTCGTGGGGTGTAGTGTAAGGTGGTGTGAAGGGTAGTGCTGTGGGTTGGGGAATAGGATGATGTAGTGGGGTGGGATAAAGGGTGGTACCAGCAGGGTGGTTTCAGGGCGTTGCAGTGGTATGGGTCACGGCTGCAAAAGTTTCAAGCATTTTTACCCATTGCAAACAAGGGGTACTTACATTTCAGTGATCTTTAGCTTAGCCTCAGAATCAGAGGAGTCTTCAGATGATGATATATACGCCTTTGATTTGATCTTCAATCTTTGTTTTGCTGTCAGTCTTTCTTCACCTAAAGACTTCTTTGATTTTGATTCTTTCTTTGTTCGAGGTTTTCTTGGCTTGGCTATTCTGTAAACCGACAATAATAACGATAGTTATCATAGTTTCATAGCTTTTAAAACCCCCCCCCCCCCCCTAAAAAAAAAAAAAAAAAAAAAAAATCCATCACAGGCAGTCAAAGATTACCTTCGTCTTTTCTTTCCTTCCCCTTCTTCACCTTCTTCTGCTACTCGTTTCTTCTTCCTGTACGAAACGAAGCATGTTAATTAGCTACACAAACTCATGAATACCGATTATGGGATCCCAGAAGGTGTTTCAGGGTTTGATAAAACTGGAAAGGATTTGAAGCGGGAAAAAACGAACCTTTTTCTTTCTTTCTTTACTTTTGGCTTTATCTCTCCATCTTCCCCGACTTCGTTTTCACTGCTGCTCGAGCTGGTAGCCACGAAGTCGTCATCTCTGGCTTTCTGGTTCGAGAAAAGAATATTTCAAATCAAATTCTCCAAAATACTACCTTGCTCCAAGATTATAGCTCAATTGCTCAGGGTTAGCCTTGTATCACAGTTAAAATATTTAAAAATACCAACGGTAAATTAGTAAAGAACGCAAAACTTCAACAATACGAACACTTTCAAATTCCACCCAAAATTGAGGCTAATCCTGAGCAACGGGGGACTTGAAACTGGAGTGCTAAATGAGCACACAGCAATGAACAAGACTGCAATATTCAACAAATAAAACAGCTTCTTTCGTGCTCCGTTCAGTAATAAAGCACGCAGGAAGTGAGCTTCCTAAGTGCTCTATTACTGAATGGAACAAGGAAAAATTTGTTTGATTCCTTTTATTATATCTAGCAGCACTTTGCGCGAGCAGATGGCGTCAGCACTGTGCTCCGTTCACTAATAAAGCACAGGTTTCGACCAATCAGCGCGGGCGTACTATCCTAACTATATAATAATATATCTTAAAACCTTTCTTCCTCGCTTCTTTTCTGCCGCTGCTTCAGCTTCCTGGCTGAAAACAAGTTTATTCTTCGTGGCTTGGACGAACTGTTGTCGTTTTTCCAGTAAAGCTTTGTCTTGTTGCTCCTTTTGTTCTTGTTTCAATCGCTTTAACAAACCGAAAAACAAACGAAACAAAAAAATTAGCGATATGCATTTCAAACTTAAAATTTTATTGAAACAAATCTTGAAATAACCTCTGGCTGATTAAAGGCATGGCACGGCTAACTCACCATCTGGATTGATCTAAGTCAGGGCATGGCTAATTTTCAGATTGAACCCTGAAACAACCTCTGGGCTGATCTAAGTCAAGGCACGGCTAACTCACAGATAGAACCCTGAAACAACCTCTGGGCTGATCTAAGTCAGGGCATGGCTAACTCACAGATTGAACCCTGAAACAACCTCT